GTTTCACATGGGAAGTCTAATCATTCTCAGATAAGGATCTCCCTTCCGCCTGATAATGGGGTGTCGACTTTCCGATCAACATCTCATGATGTGGCCAACACAGATAAGTTTCAGCCTAGGATTTTGCAAGGAAGAGTATCAACCGATGTAAAAGTCAACCCTGCTGCATCCTCTGGACAGAGTTTCGCTCCTCGGATCAACAGGTTAAATAGCCCATTGGTCATTAAGGCATATAGTAAAAGAGCCGGAGACATTGATGCTCGAGGAAACATCACTATCTTGAGAGAACAGTATAATTTTGAAGGATTTCAATCGGACTTTGGGAATGCAAAGTTCTTCGTTATTAAGTCTTACAGTGAAGATGATGTGCACAAGAGCATTAAGTACAATGTTTGGTCATCTACACCTAATGGGAACAGGAAGCTAAATAGTGCTTATGAAGATGCTCAGAGGATTGCTGCTGGGAATTCAACAGGCTGTCCAGTTTTCCTGTTCTTTTCTGTGAGTCAATTTCTTTAGCACTCGCTCTAATGCCATTCTTATTTCTTTTATGTAGTAGGCTGCTACCTTTATCTTGTCATTGTGTCATTTTAAGTCTTTATTTAAGTGATATTTTACCTTTTTTATGGAATTAAAGGTGAATGCAAGCGGTCAATTCTGTGGTGTTGCTGAGATGATTGGCCATGTTGATTTCCATAAAGACATGGATTTCTGGCAGCAAGATAAGTGGAGCGGCAGTTTCCCTGTGAAATGGCATTTTGTTAAGGATGTTTCAAATTCCAACTTTAGACACATCACATTGGAAAACAATGAAAATAAGCCCGTGACTAATAGTAGAGACACACAAGAGGTATGCTTTATTATGGTCCTGGTCACTGAATCAGTACTTCAAAATTTAATGTAGCATACAGATAAGTTAAACGCGTTAGATGTTTCTAGAAGCCAAGTTTTTGCGGTTTAGACTTCTTGGGGTATGCCAAGGCCTAAAAGGATAAAGCTATTGTTCTCACATGAGTTTAATCAAGTTATCCATAACTCAATCACCCCTTATATGCTCTTGATATCATCTTTATCTGTACTATTTGGGATCAAGTTTTGAATCTATGGTATTGCTGGTGTAAGCTTAAATCTCCATCATATTTTTTACTACACTGCACCATGCATTTATTCTTGGTTTACTGCATTGCTGTTGTTACATAGATAAGTTACCACTTTTCCCTTGTTCCATGTAATCCTTTGTGTGCTGATTTTGACAAGTAGAACTTGCACTTTATTTTACGCGACACAGTCTGTGTTTAAAAGCTCTAGCACTTGATTCTTTTCCTCGAAGTTTTCTTTATTTGCATCTTCACATGAAATTGAGTTAAAAACGACTTTCATGCTCTGGTGCATTTCACGGTGCTGTTAATATTTGATGCAGCTGTATTCCAAATTTCACCAGATTAAATATGCATGCAGATATACTTCAAGAAAGGGATGGAGATGCTTAAAATCTTTAAGAACTTCACATCCAGAACCTCCTTGTTCGATGACTTTATGTTCTATGAAAGCAGAGAAAAAATAATGCAAGAAGACAGAACTAAGCTTCTAATGAGGAGCTATGAAAATCCATACCTTGTACCCGTGTTAGATCCTCCGCGCAAGTTCAATTCAATGTTCGACTCCTCGCTTCCCTCTAATGGCACTGACAAAACCTTCCCAAAAAAAAATATTGCCCAGGAGAGTGAGAAACCGGCATCTGCAGTGCATGAGACTATAGTTTCCAAAACCAACCAATCCGGTTCAACTGAAAAGAGTGAGGTAAATGAAAAGCCAACAAAGAATGGTGATACCAGCAAGTCTGGGAGTAGTGGAGTTGCTACAACCAGGAAAATTGTCAAGGCGGATGGAGAAGTATCAGAGATTTGCGATCCAAAGAAGTCCGAAGACGATATTTCTGTTGTAGTAGTGCCTAATTGCAATAAAGAAGTTGCAAATGGAAGTGAACAAATTGTTGAAGGCAGCATTGATAGTAGTGTTTTGAAGATAGGTTCCCTTACTATACATGCCAAGCAGCCTTCTACCAAGCCTAAGTTGTGTGAGACGGCATCTACTACAACTAATACTGATTCTGCTGTAAGCAACCAAGTGATTGATGTGGTCACTGTGGGGTCAATGCCTGTTAAAGTCAATGCACATGCTGAACTGTCAGGGTTGATAACTGTTGGATCTATTCAGCTCGATCCCAGATCTTTCAAGGGTAGTGAGAATAGTGGTTCTGGGAAAAGCGCACCTCAAACAGCTTGATGCATTCTACAGTCTGCACACCTACATGCCTAGCAGTACATCCAAATATACCAGACTCCTTGTGGAGTGTGGACATCGGAGTCCGTAAAAGCTTGTTTTGTTTGGGTTTCTCCTGGAACGACGGATGGATGCATATATATTTTTTGGTTTGGTGGTCTATAATGGTTTTTTGGCAGCCGTGGCTTGCAAAAGTTTGTGTTTATCCTTGGCCTTTCATTTCTGTCTCGATAAAAAGAGTACATCTGAGAAGTTAATATGAAGTGTTTGGGGTGGAGTGGGTTGGGGAGTTCTTAGATTAGATTTTGGCCTCCTTATAAATCATTTATTGGTCTTTTGTTAGCCTGACATTGATTGACAAAAAAAGAAGCAAACGTTGGTTTTTTATTGGCACAAAATATCTAAGTTTATTGACTTTTTTTGTACTGAGTAATGTATTGTATTGGAATTCGTATGTTTTGGGACATCGCTGTTTAGACTGCTTTATACACTTTCCTGTCTGTTGAACTTTTTGCGTACATTTGGATGCTACGATCTTTTAAACAGAAGTGAATAAATATATGCGGGGGGGGGGGGGAGGTCAGGGGTGTAGGCTATATACCTGTTCTAAATGGCTGGTCAGCTTGGGCATTCTTGAAATCAAGAATTGAACTTTAACCTGAATTGGACAATTGGTATTTAACTGGTTTGATATCTGTCTCCACAAGATTGTTTTTCGAAGGTTCTTGGAATGTTAAATTGATTTAATATGCTGTCGAACATTATATTTCGCCAATCAGGTTAGCGCATACAACGGATAAATGCTGCAAAAATGCAAAATAGAACACTCCGCACATTTTTGTGGTTTTTTCAAATGCAATGATTTTTGAAATTATGGGACAAGACTATGCAGGAATTAAGCAGAAAGGTGTAGACAAAAAATACAGATTTCAAAGAATTTATTTAATTACAGATTTCAAAGACTATTTCAAATACAGATTTTTGAATTTACTAGAGACATAATAAATTGAATTCTTATAAAGATTCTCCACATAATTGGTAATTAGTTTCAAATAATTCAAATTTCATAGAGTATATATTTTTTGAATCAACTTTAATTTTTTCAGTTACATATTATAGTTATCACTCTCATAAGCAGCCATCCCCCATTACATTCCTGATTCCCCCATTCAGTGCACTAAGAGCATCTACAATGCTAATACGTTAACGATGCACACGTGGCGTGAGAGACAGTCAATCAAAAAACAATAATTAACATATCTCTCTCCTTATATGAAGGACCTTATATCATTTTGGTAAGTTTTTGTTCACAATGTCAAACACAATGTCTAGATGTAGACATTGTGGTTTACATTGCAGAGTAAAACTTACCAAAAGCACACAAGACCGTGAAAAGATAGAGAGAGAAATGTCATAAGATCAACCTTTTGTATCTCTCTCATGCCACATGTGCACCGTGCACATTGTAGCATTGGAGATGTTCTGATGTGAAAAGAAGAGAAGTACTTGGAGGCCATTCTATGGACTATAATCAATCCCATACAAGAGTCGCAATCCATTCTGCACTTCAATTCTTTAATTCCTAATCATAATTTCGTTTAGTGAAATTTTCTTGTGTAGATAGAAAAAGGATCTTTTCCATTTTTTGTATTCACATGTCATTTTAGGACATCAAATCAGTATTCACATGAGAAAATGTTACATATATAAAATTCCAAGAAAACTCGGTTCACATAATTCAATTTATATAAGAAAAGGGCCTACCCACACACAACACAGGCAATAGGCATAAAACTTTGACAAAGTTGACCGACACGGAGAATAATAAAATAAAATCTGTGTGATTGAGGTTTGTGCAGAGAGAAATAACAAAAACCACAAAATAATTGATTAAAAGGGAATGTGACAAAGTTTTTTGGAAGGTCCCAAAAAGGAAAGATTTAAGGGACAGAGAGTATAATTTTGAGATCCTATTAGGGGTGAAGACGGGAGAGGTTGGCGGGGCCTCGGCCTCTCAAGCAAAAAATTCTGATGTCTAAATATATATATATATATATATATGTGTATATATGTATAAATATTTATAAACGGTAAAAGGTATTATGAAAGTAAAAACTTTGACGCCTCAATATAAATTCTTAAAATCCCGCCCCCAATCAAGAATGGATCCTTTGAGTTACTAGGTGCACTAGAAATAGACAATTGAATGATCCTTGTCAAAATAAACATTTAATGACTGTGAGTCTGTGACTCATACAACAAAATCTACCATTTTTTTTATCCCAAATTTTTGTCAGGAAATGCATCATTTTTTTCATACAAGTTTATATAGAGATAGATGGTTGAATGTAATATAGGAGGTTTTGGAACCGATTTTGTTTCTGCTTTTTTCTTAAAACAGGATCCGAATAAGTTTTCAAAAGCCGATCTCCCACGACTCTCAACTTTTAAAAAGACTGATTTTATAAATAATTAGAACACAAGTACTTTTACACTTACATCCAAACAACCCATGTTTCCACAAAAATGAAATGTAACATGAAGCAAAAGGAAAATGTTTAGTGTACATGAGATGAGTTGTACACAAACTGTACACAAAACCCCCCGTCAATTCATTTAGAAAAGAGCAGAATTTGATACCAATTGTCTGTGTACCCCATGAATGTACACTTTTTGTGGGCACCCTCCATGGCCCATTTCAATAATTGAGAGAGTAAATTGTTAAGTACCAGACAGCCTATTTTGAGAAACTGTTCATCAGACATCACACGTCGGCCGGTCGTGGTGAACATTCTTGTTCCGACTCCCGGCACATTACCGGCACAACTCCTCCCCCCCCCCCCCCCCCCCCCATTTTCAGCTGAAAACGACACTACAGTCAGCTGAACTTTAGAAGCCAATCTTACTTCACTTCAGACCTCACTCCAGCTCAAGCTAAATCAAGAAACTGGCTTGTTTGATTCTTTCAGATCGCAAGGTCCATATGCAGCTTCTTATACTCATTCATTAAATTTTAAGAAGATTCCTATCCTATAAACTTCTTTATACAAAGGTGCTTACTTTCTGAGTTTCAAGACTGGTCCCAAATTCCCAACTGAATCCTAACCCAGAAAATGCAGAGGGAGAAAATGAGCAAATCTATTTATTTACCTCTAAAGCAGAAAAAAGTTTCATTTTTCTTTATTTACAAAGTGAATTTGTGCTAAACCATTCAAGACCTGCATAATTTCAAGATACAAATTCACAAGTAAACCTTGGTTCCTCCTATTGTGATGTTAATCCCTTAAGTTAGAACACAAGTCTCAATATTTTGGTTGTTTTCATTTGATTTGTTTATCTAGATGTGTGATCCATCCAAAACATTAAATTCCAAGTTGTACTTTTAAATTTAGTTGATGTGAGATGTTTAACGTTGTTTTGTCAATTTTGACAGAATTAGGCAGTCAAATACAAAAACTTTGGGCTGACATAAAAAAAAGAATGAAGAAATGGGCAGGATATTTGCTTATTCTTGGTCTTGCTGTTACTTTGTTATTTCGATATAGCTCCATCGAAAAACCACTGCAAAAACAATCGGCTTATGATTTTTTCAACAATCATCCGCCAAGTAGTACTTATAACGTTGAGGATTATGCAAAAGATATTAGTGATGATAATGTGGAAGAAGTAATTCCTCCAGTGAAGGAAACCAATCATTCTAGGTTTAAAGGGAAGCCACATTTTGTCAACTTTGATGGGTTCGTTGATTTATATAGCTCGCATAATGTTTCAGACTCTGTGGCTATGCTTGTGTGGGGTGAAATGCGGTCTTTATTATCTCGGTCAGATGCACTGCCTAATACTGCCCAGGGAATTAAGGAGGCTTCCCTGGCTTGGAAAGAGTTGTTGTTATCAATAACTGAAGAGGACAAATCATTGGATGAGAAAGAAGGTAAAGAGTGTATATACTCTGTGAGTCTTTTTAATGAAACACTATCGAAGAATGAGAGTATTCTTGAAATCCCATGTGGTTTAATTGAAGACTCATCCATTACTGTGATTGGGATGCCCAATTCTGAACAGGAGAGTTTCCGGATTGATCTAGTTGGTTCTCAGCTTCCTGAGGATGTAACACCTCCTATATTATTGCGTTATAATGTTGTTTTGCCAGGTCAGAACTTGACAAAGAGTCCCATTATCATTCAGAATGCATGGACTAACGCATCTGGGTGGGGAAAAGTGGAGAGATGCCCGGATCGTGGTTCGGCCGACACACCAGAAGGTGAAAATATGCTAATGTTTTTTACTTATTTCAATTTTCATGCCATTTTTGCAATTGAATGTTTAAAACTGAAATCCAATTCTTTGACCACAGGAACTTAGTTAATCTAGTTCTTATTTGTCAGGTTTTTGACAAATGCATAACTAATTTTTATTTTGGTTACATACTACTCCCTCCGTTCTTTATTATCTGTCCTCTTAGGCTTTGGCACGAGTTTTAAGAGGAAAATAATAGGGGTAGTGTAAAAGGTGTCGTGAGTTGTGGGTAAATGAAAAAGTAGGAAAGAGAAAGGGGTAATGTTAATAAAAGTGGGGGTATGAAGGTATTTTGACAGATAATAAAAAACGTCCCAAAAAGGAATACGAGACAGTTAATAAAGAATGGAGGGAGTATTTTTTATTTCCATCATTTGCAATGGAGCCAAAGATTCACTATTTTTTGACTTGGGAATATGATGGAATAAAGCAAAATGGCTCACTAAACTGTGTGCGCTTCTTTAATTATGAAGCAGCAGTCAGTCCATGCAATTTTCGACGCAATTTTCATCCTTGGGTCATTCCGAAACAGACTCTCTGTGCTTTAGTACAGGGGTAAGGTTGCGTACATCCGACCCCCCTTTACCCCACCGTAGGTGGGAGCCTTTGTGGCACTTGGGTAATGATGATGATGACATCTGTTATAATGCATGAATCATATGTATAAGGATAGAAATCAAAGAATTCACACAACTAGGCCTTGTTTACACATCATTCTCTTTAGTTTTCAGATGTGGGGCTCTAACACATACTTCTCAAATTTATTTATTTATAACTATATTTGTCATATACCACTTCCCAGTGAGTCATCTATGATTGCATGTTCACAAATTACATGAAAATTCAAGCATCTTTTGATTGATTATTTGAAACGAGACTATTGTTTGGGATGGAGTAATGATTTTTCTCCTACCTGTGTTTTTTTCAGTTGATGGACTTGCAATGTGTAATGCAAAAATTATAAGAAGCAACTTGGAACATATTTCAAATGCTAGTCATCTGGAAAGCTTGAATCGGGCTGACGGTTCAAATGGAACTGCACATGCAAGACCCGATTTTCCATTCGTCCAAGGTTACCCGTTTACTGCAACATTATGGGCTGGTTTGGAAGGATTTCATATGACTGTAAACGGAAGACATGAAACTTCTTTTTCCTATAGAGAGGTGACTTATGGCTTATTAGATCTTTGTGCTTGAGTAGCTTATAGTGTGTTTTGGGATTTACTCTGGTAGGCTATTCTGTTGTTAGGTACTTATCGTATTGCCCTCAGTCCAAATCTTATTGGACAAATGGACCCAAGCCTACCTCCAAATGGTCTGTCGCAAACTCTCAGGTGGAAGAATGCCCACAAACCACTGCCAGATCAGATTCTAATACCATTTTAAATTTCAAAGAAACCTTACAGACCCAACTATGTATAAGAATTGAAGTATAGGTCATATTTGGGTAATTCCCTACTTCATAGACTGGCCAAATATACAGATATATATATACAAAATCACATAAAATCTAAAGTTTTAACATGTTATCGAAGTTAATAAAACTCAAACAAACAAATGATCTTTGACTTAATAGAGTTTAGAAGAAGAGAGAATTGCAGACTGAAATGCATACTTTATTCTCAGGCATACATTGGTATTTATACAATCATTGGGAGCCTATGTAATAATTATAATACTAATTACAAGGATATGTAACGGTTAAAACTGAAATTGTAATAATTGAAAATATTATAAATTAATATTTTCTGGATTCTTCTACACGCCCCCGCAAGCCAGGTATTCTGTCACTCCCAAGAATCCTGAGCTCGTCTCTTAGTAGAGTAAACCGTTGCCTTCAGAGTGGTTTGGTAAGAGCATCAACTAACTGATCATGAGAAGAGATGTGAAGAACACGAAGAAGCCCATGTTGCACACGTTGTCGAACAAAATGAAAATCAATGGCAACATGTTTCATCCTGGAATGGAAAACCGGATTTGCTGAAGAAGTTGTAGCGCCTTTGTTATCACAAAGTAGGAGCGGGGAAGCGGGAGGTGCATGTCGGAGTTCATGAAGAAGAGACTCAATCCAAAGAATTTCTGATGCAGCAGTAGAGAGAGCCCGATACTCCGCTTCTGTAGATGATTTAGCAATGGTTCATTGTTTAATGGACTTCCAAGAAACAAGTGATTCACCAAGAAAAATGGCATATGCGCAATGCGCTATACCAAATACATTTGGTTTTATCTCATCAACCATAAGTCTGAAGTGACCTCAATTTTTCAACAATTTAAAAAAATTGTAGAAAACTTTTTTCAAAAAAAAAATATTAAAATGGTTTACTCTGATGGGGGAGCTGAGTATGTCGCCCTAGGGAAATTCCTGAGTTCCTGCGGTATTTCCCATTTATTAACCCCTCCCTATACTCCGGAACATATTGGTTTTGCTGAACGACGACATCGTCATATTGTTGAAACAGGGATCACTTTACTTCATCATGCCTCCATGCCATTTAAATATTGGTCTTATGCTTTTCAAACTGCAGTGTATCTCATTAATAGACAACCTGCAACGTCTCTCAATTTCTGCACTCCATTTGAAAAGCTTTTTCAAAAAGCACCTAATTACACAAAATTTGCTATTTTTGGGTGTCAACGCTTTCCGTGGTTGCGTCCTTACACAACCCACAAATTAGAACCTCGATCCAAACCATGTATTTTTCTAGGGTATTGTGATCGGCAGAGTGCATATCAATGTCTTGACCCAGCTACCCATCGTATTTTTATTAGCAGGCATGTCATATTCAATGAGTCTGTTTTTGCCTTCTCTCAGACCGTAACACCTGTTACTAATCTCTCCTCGGAGATTGATAACTGGCTTCAATCGCCTATTTCTTATCTTCCCCTTTCAGGTACACCAACGGCAAAGGCATCTCCTATTTCTCATACTCCCACTCAGCAAATCACTCTCGGTAGTTCAATCTCTACCTCTAATACGACACCCCCTACACTCCCACCTCCACACAATCCACTTGCTATCATCACCTATCAACGTCGGTCTAAGCAAAAACCATCTACCCCACCGTTTCCTCAAACTTCACTCAATGAACCACCCACTATCACCCCGACCAATTCCCCTCCCAAACGTACTCATCCCATGACTCTTCGTCCTCGTAAACAAGCTAATCTCGTCACTCAATCCGCCTTACCTCATCATATTATTCCTACTTGTGCTTCTCAAGCTTTACAGGTACCAGAATGGAAGGATGCTATGTCAGCAGAATTTGAAGCCTTGGTTAAAAAGAGAACTTGGGATCTTGTTCCAGCTTGTCCTGGTCAAAATGTTGTTGGTTGCAAATGGGTTTATACTGTGAAGTACAAGCTGGATGGTTCCTTGGATCGTTTCAAAGCTCGGTTGGTTGCTAAGGGCTTTCATCAGCGCCCAGGAGTTGATTATTCTGAAACTTTTAGCCCAGTAATCAAACGGTCACCATTCGAGTTGTCTTGACTATTGCTCTTTCTCATGGTTGGCAGATCCATCAGCTTGATGTTAATAATGCCTTTTTGCATGGGACTCTTCATGAGGAAGTATACATGAAACAACCTCCTGGTTTCAATGATGGTTCCGGGTCTGTTTGCCGTCTTCGTAAATCTATCTATGGTCTCAAACAAGCACCCCGGGTGTGGTATCAATCTTTAAGTGGATTCTTCTACATGACTAAGACTAAAAAAGACCACATGTTTGTAAGAATGGTTCCGAGGGTGTTTGACCATCCAACACCAACTAAATAAAAAAGATGCAAACTCATATCTAAGAAAAACAAGTTGACATGTTAGAATAAACCCTATGAAACACAGAAACTCTCGGTAAAGAGTAAGTTTCCATTTCGAAAACTCTATGGAAACTCTCCAAACAGTTGATTTTCTATTAAAAATTGGTGTTTCCTGTTTCCCCATGATTCCCACATTTCCATGCAACACATATAAAATCTTATGTTTTAATATGTGAGACACTTCTACAGCTGGATTTAAAGCAATTCTCTAGATAACTAGATTATGTTTGCAAGGTGGTTTGAGTAGTGCTTGCAATTGTGCAGAAACTGGAGCCATGGTCGGTTAAGAAAGTCTGTGTGGGAGGTGGGTTGGACATCATATCTGCCTTAGCAAAAGGACTGCCAGTTTCTCAAGATCCAGATTTGGCTGATGTTGAACAACTCAAAGCTCCATTATTAAGTGGCAAGAAACAGCTTACAATGCTGATCGGAGTATTCTCAATGGGAAACAATTTTGAGAGACGGATGGCATTGAGAAGAACATGGATGCAGTATGAAGCTGTACGCTCTGGGCAAGTGGCTGTCCGGTTTTTCATTGGTCTTGTAAGTTAGTACAGATTAAATCAATGTATTAATTTTTAGTTTCAGAAAGCGGGAGTTGATTTTATTTTGTTTAAACTTGGATGTAGCATACAAGCAAGCAAGTCAATTTGGAAATTTGGAAAGAAGCTCAAACATACAAAGATATTCAACTGATGCCTTTTGTTGATTACTACACCTTGCTCAATTTGAAAACGGTTGCCATATGCATTCTTGGGGTATGTACAACTGTACAGCCTAGTCATTACTCACTAGGGCATTTTACAATATTGTTTGTCATTGTCATCATTTCCACATAAGATAAATGCTGTTAAGCCCTCACATTATCACAATATAAAATAACAAAACACGTATGATATTCAACTATCTATAATGCACAGAAACTCTTACAAGGGAGCATTTCCACATTTAGAACTCTAAAAAACCTTAATAGCAATTTATTTCCGATTAAAAATGGATATTCCCCATGCCATATTTCATGTTTCACATTTCCGGCTGAAACATAATTGGTTACTTTTTCTATAATGTTGATCTTTTAGAATAGAGTTTCAAGTCTGAATATACTAATCGAGAGTATTCCCTCTCATGAGCTTTTACTTTTTTTCGTGGTTAGGTAAAATTTCTCCCAGCTAACTATATAATGAAAACGGATGATGATGCATTTGTAAGGATAGATGAAATCCTTTCAAGCCTCAAAGATAAGCATTCCACCAGTCTCTTGTATGGCCGAGTAGCTTTTGAATCTTCTCCCCATCGGGATAAGGAGAACAAATGGTACATCAGTACTGAGGTATGAGCTTAATTTTCTATCACATTTTTCATTGTGCACTACTTTTTGTCCAAATTTTGAGTTTGCAACTCATTTTTTAAACCATTAATATTTGGATCTCAAAGTAAAAAAATGATTAAAAATGAGGTGGAGCTTGTAAGAAAAAGGGGTGTATTTTGTGATTTTCATGATGCAAGTATAAATGAATTCGAAAGTGGGGTGCAAACATAAATTTTGATGAAAAGCAATGCCAACTCTAGTTCCCTCCATCAATCATGAACATAAGTCACACCAATGTGAGATGATAAAAGCATATACGGTATTATAACTATTGATAATGATGCATTTTAGATTTTTAGTATCTCAACTATTGAAAGAAGCGAATTGATAATACCTTGAGCGCATTTAAATGTTTCAGAATAGTATCATTTTGAGTTTGTGGTCAAAATAATCATACTTGATAACCTTGACTTCACGTGAATGAGGAAGAATTAAGTATAATTAATTATTCGGTCAAGTTGATGATTTCATTACGAGTTAAGTGCGATTTTGATATGCTGTAATGACTAGATTAGCTACATGTTGCGTTTTTTCCTAAATTGGTAAGACTATTGTTATCTAAACTTGCTAGCCGTGACATGTGAGTTAATTAATTAATTACATATTCTGTATAATTTTCTGAAGAAAGTATATGAAGCTCAGACTATATTGTTAAATAATTTAGGACGAATTTCATATGTTATGCTCATTTGCTTTATTTAATAGTTGGGGTACCAAAATGCATCAATATTATTTAAGCAATTACATATCCCAAACTCTTTTGGAACTAAGGCTACATATCCCAGTTCCCCACATAGAGGCACTACAGAAGTAAGAAAAATGAGGTAGAAGATCTCAATTCACATGTACTAATAATGTACTATACATTTTCTACTTTAATTTGAAAATTTGATCGTTCTCGTGCAGGAATGGCCTCATTCCTCATATCCACCTTGGGCTCATGGTCCTGGATATATAATTTCTCGAGATATAGCAAAGTTCATTGTCCAGGGTCATAAAAAAAGGGACCTTATGGTAATTTTCTTTCTGCACTATTCATTTATGATCATTTATTTTTTATGTACTCGTATTAAGAAATCTTGTTCCATCGTATCGTATGAAGTCAACAAGATGAGAGGAGTAGCCTTAAGTCTTATACATTAATTTACGTCTATATTTGGCCATTTTGGAATTGCTTAATATTTGACAGTGTCGTACTTGTGATGAATTTGCGAGAATGCCACACTGCCCACACATTTTTGAATATGTTTTGGTTTATCTTACCTTTTGTTCTTATTTTGTTCCCTTCATGTGTCCAGCTTTTTAAACTCGAAGACGTTGCTGTGGGCATATGGATTAAAGAGTTCAAACAAAAGGGTCATAAGGTGAAATACGTACACGACGATCGGTTCTACAATGATGGCTGTGAGTCAAATTACATTCTTGCTCATTATCAGAATCCAAGGATGGTGCTCTGCCTGTGGGAGAAACTACAGAAAGAGAATCAACCAAACTGCTGCCAGTGATTTTATATGTCACCCATTGCTAAATAGACAAAGGTGAGTCTATATCAGTTGCCGACCACTACAGCCTAGCTTATATGGAATTGGTTAATCCTGCCAAGATGTACCATATTCTTTTGGGGATCATGCTGATTTCCATATTCTTTTTCTTTTCATACTTTGTTTTGTTCCCTTCTCTTTTTAGTCTTTTTTTGTTTCCCCTTTTTCTCTTTTCCTTATCCTCCATTGGGTTCTCCATCGATGAGGCAATGGAAGTGATCAGATTGGACTCATCTTGACCGCTACAAGTTCATTCACTCACAACACAAATATAGTGGGACAAATGGGAAAAGTTTGGAGCAAGAAAAGATTTGGTGCAATTATCATGAGCTACTCAATCTGGATGATTCGGGTCCATCCGATCCTTATCAGAGCGGTCAATTCCAAACTGTGCCTGGTTATTTATAACCATTGTAGTACCTTATTGCAGCAAGCAAATGTGTTTTTTCGAAGATACTTTTTCCAGCATAAGGGTGGAAATGAAGAGGATGATGGCAAGAAACCAGCTTTACACTTTATGGTGTAGCTATAAAATGTGAGGCAGTCAAATATATATGTTCAGATTTGAAAATCTATTTTGGGACTTCGATAGCAGATAGCCGGATATTGTTTTCGAGACATTTTTGTATTGGCAGTTACAAAGTTAAAGATTTTTTATCATCTTTGACAGCCAACCTGTTTCGATTCATACTAGCTTTAGTTAGAGTTCCAAATTCTCATCTTCATTGTATGGCTCATTAGAGTTTTTAAAATTTTATGGTTTGAGATAATTTGTTAACTACGGTGTGGGAAAAGAAATCCAACAAGTTTGTATTATAAGAATGTTTTCATTTGGCTGAAAACTTTTAGTTTGGTCTAACCTGATTTGATTTGGTATTATGTGTGTTTTATATTTATTTGTGTCTAGATTGGTTTGTTTAAGTCAAGTCCGGTGTATTTGAAACCAATCAAAATAAAAACATCTTATATATGAAACTAATATAACAAGAATGTCAACACTTGACATTATTCTTATTAAGAGCCTGATTAGTAAAAGTAAAATTGGTTGAATTATTGAAATTTATGAAATTCTAATTAAATCGGTTGAATTGACTTCATCAACTGAATTATGTAAGACATATATCTCATATATATATTTTATTCAAAAAATAAAGAAAATATCGTATGAAAAGTAGGCAGAATGATCATCTATAGTAACTTTAGTCAATTCAGCGTGCAGAATAAAAATTAAATATTTGAAAAAGAAAATAAAATATTTAAATTTCCATTTGCTAAAAATGTGGATTTGTTGATCTAGAAATAAGAACTCAACTATCTCATCATCATTACCCCAGTGCCGCAAAGGGAGGATCAGATGTACGCAGTCTTACCCCTGTACGGTTGTACTAAAGCACATAGATACTGTTTCTGAATGACCCATGGTGAAAATTGCGAAGAAAAATACATGGATTGACTGTTGCTTCAAAATAAAGAAACACAAACAGTTTAGTGAGTCGTTTTGCTTTATTCAATCATATTCTCAAGCCAAAAAATAGTGAATCTTTGGCTCCATTGCAAATGATGGAAAAGGAACTCAACTATCAACAAGAGAATATTATAAAAAGTGTGGAGCTCGATAAATAACTCTAATTTATCTGTTATATTCCTCATAAATCTTTTTCCACGACAACTACAAAATGTAACAATTCAACACTTCAATGATTTTTTTATTTGGATGTATTTCTAATTATAATAACTCACAAATCTTGAGATGAGTTTAGATGATATCCATTGTATTCTTGAAAATTAAAATTATTTTAAGATTTTATTTGGGCTTTTTACATGAATATTACTCCCTCCGTCCCGAAATAATCGTCCTGTTTTGACCTTCACACAGATTAAGAAAACAAAGTTGACTTCACACTGTAGCGACACTGTTTGGCACTGTAGCGACATTGTTTGGCATTGTTTTGCACTGTTTGACACTGTTTTGTATAGATTTGTTTACCAAATAAGGAAAGGAGACAATTATTTCGGGACGGACCGAAAAAGAAAGCAGGACAATTATTTCGGGACAGAGAGAGTACTAATTTAGAGTCAATTTCCAAAAATGTGACCATTTTTACAAAAGGACAAAAATGTGATCAAGAAGGTCATATATTTGGAAAAACAAGTTCTGCCAGATTTTTATGTCACTGTTAATTTTTTTTGTCACTGATTTTATGTCACTTTTGAATGTCATTGTCGGTTTTCATGACACTTTTATATGTCACTTTCACCGTCAACCGTGTCACTGTATCGCCTTCAAATGTGTCATTGTGTCACCCTTAAATGTGTCACTGTGCCATTAACCCATCTCCACCCCAACCTTTGGCCACAGTGACATCTCCACGTGACATCTCTCCTGTCGGAAACCATCGCCGGACACAGTGACACCTCCACCGTCAGTGTTATTGCCGTCTTCGGTGTCGCTATGATTGCCGGAAACGTAATTTCAACCAAACTTGGCCGCCACACAAACTCTTTTCATCACTGCACCCCCCTCATTTGTCTCCACCGGTAACCAAGGAGCCCCAACCACCCTGCCATCTCTTCACAATCCTCCACCGCCCCAACCGCCCCGCCATCCCATCACAGCTCACCACCGCCACTGCCACATCACCGCCCCACAAATCCGGCGACACCACCACTCTCCTTACCCTCCCCTAGCCCTAATCACCTACTTCTTAGCCCTCCTCCACCGCCCTGCCCCATGTTTTGTCCCAGCCCACCAACACCATCGTAACCCTAACCGTCAGTCAACCACCGCCTTCAAATTGAACTCCACCGGTCAGACCTGACATTATAGCTTGATCGCGATGGAGATGGGGGCGTAGGTTGGGCGGCGAAGGCTTACATCGAGCGTGAAGGACATCGATGACTCCAATCCGCCTCCCCATCATCCGGACAGAAGGAGAAGAAATAGAGATTCTGACGTGGGGTAGGGGAGGGAGACAACTGTGGTAAGGAAGACTGCTATGGTGGCCGGAGATAAGGTTGAGGATGGTGACAGAGTTGGCGGCGTAGCTTAGGGCGGCGGTGTAGAGTCGGCGGTGCAACTGAGTTTGGCGGAGTAGAAGAGATCCATCTCTTCTCTTTGAGCGCAGCAGCAAGACCTGTTATTGTCTTTGAGCGCAACAAGGGAAGAGTGGAAGAAAGATTGGGATTTGATTTTGGGTCACTTTTCTGTCCAAGCTTAATTTCATTATATTTTTATCTAATGAAAGTGGAGAAAGTAATATTGAGGCCATTATTTCGCAAATAAATCAGGCCTAGTTTTTTTTATAGTAAATCAGGTCTAGTTTTAACTGGACCTATTTGAAAGAGTCTAGCTTAATTGCTTAATTCTAGTCTCATATAGAGTATGAATTACTCCGTAGTAATTTATAATGATGTGTTTAAGTTTGCTTTGTGTAATTTAATATCCAAAATTTGTGTAATTGAAAACATACCAAGTTGACCACCTATTCTTATGTTTCATTCGTCTTTATAAAACTCATCTTCCATTATTACTTCTCCATTTATCATTATTCCTTTATCACAACGAATATTCTAACTTTTGTCTTTGTGAACTCAGGATCTTTTATCTTGGCCTCTCAACAAGTGGAAAAGAACTCACATAGAAATAAAACTCATTATTCCATCTACACAGTTTCATTCTTTCACCGTACTTAATTAGTTAATTAAGTAATAAAATGCTATATTAAAACTCTAGGCTATAACCTTCTATCATATCATTTGCGCACTGACTCGTAAATTGCCTCATCCAGAAACTATTTGAGATCATACTGTAATTTACTCATGCACCTTTATGTCTGGTCAGAGTGTGGTGTCACCTAAAGCGGCAATATCACCTTTTGAGATTAGGGTTTAGCCAATTATGGGTTCACTCCTTTCTGCACACTAAGTGTTTCTCATAGCACACGATCAATGGTATTTATTAACTACGATTCATACCAATACGATAGCCTAGTTATCCGGGAATGAATACTAATAATGCTATTTCTTCTCTAATTGATAAAGTCAAGGTTGGAGAACTACTTAAACAAATAATGGATATTGAGATTAATTTAATTGCTAATAAGTACAAAGTGATGAAATCAAATGTAATCAAATGTAATTTTTTTGTACTTTGCTAATGATTTTTCGGACATGTATTAATACACTAAGCTCTTTTGAGAATAAGGTTTGGATGTTATTCTTGTAATAATAAAAGACCAAATTCATACCAATAATCCATACTAGTGATTCTACAATAATAATCTCTATCGAAGATGTCTATATAAATAATCCATACTCATAAATACATCTACATAGATAGATTAGATTAATCTTTTTAATATTTAATATATAAGGATACAGTATTGACTTTATTCACCATTGTCATAAAATTGAGTTTGATGTTTTTATATCATTGCTATAATTATTTTCTTGAAGTATAATAATCTATGTATGAAGGTTTAATCTATCCACGTAGACGCATTTACGAGTTTGGATTATTTATATTGACTTTTTCAGTAGAGATTATTATTATAGAATCACCAAAAGTACGGATTATTGATATGAATTTCACCATAATAAAATGAGCTAAACATCTTCTTCATATGTTATACTCACCTCATACCTTCCATATATGCATAATGACTTCCAAGAATTTCATGTTGGGTTCTTAGCTATATTATTCCACTTGAGCTCGAATATACTTCAACTGCCGACACATATATCAATATATGTGTGTGTTGACTGTTGTGCTCCCATGGCAATAAAAATGTCGCAATCTCCTTTTCTTTTTCGTCTTTTTAAAAAATGCTAAAAACAATACTGTGAAATAGATTCTCCGTATATTTTAGTATTTTACCTTTGTGTGTGAAAGATTTACTTTTTTACACCCAGGGGCGGAGCCAAGGGGGTGATAAGCCGATCCCTCCGAAAGTTTGAGAGTGTAGAGCTCTGAAATATCTTCGATTTGATATATTATGGCCACTGTAACTCATTACGTGTAAAAAGTTACGACTTCTGTAGTAAATCAGGATTATCTCAACGTAAAATAAAAAAAAATTGGATGCATATTATAGATCAGTTTCCCAAAATTTAAAAATAAAGTATAATTCACACAATACTTACATGACACGACTCAAAAAAAGAGCAAAGACAATATACATTATTGCTACGAGTGCCTATTTATCTAAATTGTATATAGAATATTCAACCCAGACATTATTTAAAAACGATTAATCATTTTCATTCTATATATAGGTTGAGTTTCGACTCCATGAAACGTTTTTTTGGCTCCGCCACTGTTTACACCCATAGAAACCCAAATAAAAAACGTGTGCCTCTAAACCTATTAAGAAGGAATTATACACTATAATTAGAACTGTTGCGTTGGCATTATTTAAGATTCCAACAGCATATAACATCCTCCTTATCACATTAAGCATGGTATCTTATGCCACCTATTTATCAGGTTGCCAATGTACCAGATCAAGATACTGTTTTTATTGTCCAACATTTAATAAGTATATATACCCCTGCTTTATTACTTATTAGTTTTTCCGTTGAATAAACTATGCCAAAAAAATTATTTGTATATCCCTTTTTTGTTAACTGACAAAACATGTTCAAAGACATATTTTGTCTATGAACAGTGCCAAATCTGTACACACTTAATACACATGTAATTGTCTGTGTCCATAAACAATTATTGCACGAACCGCTTGTGTGCACATACAACCAGAGAGTGTACACATTATTTGTGTACACGGACAAATATGTACAAATATGTGTCAAGTGTTTACCATGTTTTTGTACAGATAGAAATTTTCACAAAAAATAATTTGTTCACTGACATATGCAGTGATTGTGATTGTATAAGAAAATGTGTAACAAGTGAGTCTTTGTGTCAAACATTTATTGCATTCTTAAAAGTCAAACACTCCTAAAAAAGTTTACACGATTTTTAGAAATCACAGCATATTGGGATGAATGAGTAGAAAAGAACTTTTAGAATTATTTTACATGACCTTTTTTACCATAATAGTTTAAAACGAATGGTACTACCTCCGTTCCTATTAAAATTTCCAAATAAGTTTGTCACGTATTTTAAGATAGTGAGTATTGTGTGATGTAGAGTTATGCAGAGAGAAAAATATGTAAGAAATATTGTGAACCACAAATTCTTTACTAAAAAGGGAAAATAGAAATTTTAATTGAACAGATGAAAAAAGAAAGTTGAAAGTTTATTTAGGAATGAAGGGAGTTTGATAATTTTGTGTAAAATTTATCTAACTTTTGTACGCCATTTGCCCTCATGGTCTACAAAATTCAGAATTTTCTAGGAACAAAATTTGAATTTTGCTACTACAAATAATAAAGAGTGCTTCGTAATAATACGCCTACGTGAAAAATTGAAGTCCACGAAAAAAGATTTTCTTTTTGTAAGGCGCGTTTCGATGCCACACGACATTTTTAGTTTTTACCCGCTGGATAAAGCCGCCGCTGTATGTATTACTATTACCGTTTTACAGCGTGGTAAAAATGTGTCTATATTTATACCGGAAGCGCGATATTTCCCTCTATTAGAAAGTCAGATTGCTTCTCGCAACAGAAAGGTTACAAAACAGAAGAGGTAAAACAAAACCCTAATCTCTCAAACTCGTAAGATTCTCACGCCATATCTTCAGGATCATATTGCCTTCCACGATAATTCGAGAAGGGAGCTTCCCATTTTTCTTCCCCAGATGATAGTTAAGAGGAGTTCGACGGCGGATGTGGTCGCCGAAGCAGAGATTTTGTGCCAGCAGAGCGTTTCGGTTCAGTACATCCGCGTCTCGAAGCCCGTTGGTAATGATTTGGAGTTGTTCGACGTCGAGACGCCGGATATTTCCACGCCTCCCATCGAGGTGGAGTCCTTGTCCATTGAAATCTCTCGATCTGAGTCGGTGAGTTATTATTTCCCTATCTGAGTTCTTCCTTACTTCCTGATTAGTTTGTTTTCATATTTTGGGGTTGTTCGCGATTCTCTGGAATACCCATATCAAACAGTTCGTGTTTTCGTTCAATCTCGAGATTGGATCTGAAAACAGATTCTGCTTGGGAAAATTAGGGTTTTCTGTTTAAAATTATGTAAATCATCAGAATAGGCGTTTGATCAATCAATCAATAGTGTATATTTTCCTGGGTATAGCTTGTGTTCTGGGATCTCTGCTGTGTTTATTCTACTATAATTGATCACATTTCTTACTACTGGTTTTAGAGATAAATCCATTCACGGGTAAAATAGAAGTTGTTCTTTAATGACTAATTAATACACCTGGGGAAGTGATCTGATTAAATTTTGTTTGAAACTCGATATTTATTAATTGATGAACCCAAAGTTTCAAAGTTTCTTATTGCTTTGATATGTGTTGTATAATCGGATATTTTGCAAGATGACCATTAAATATTAGATCTATGGAGATGGGATTGTTGTTTGATGTGTGAATGCTGACCTTTGTTGTGGTCTTGTTTTTTAGGCTGTGAAGTGCTCAACTAGCATTCAGTCTGCTTTAAAGCATGCATCGAGAAAGGCCAATTATCTTCCATGCATTCGTTCTGGTAGCCACACTGACATCGGAGCACGAAGATCAAATGAGGATGAGCATGTCAGGATTGATGATCTATCTGCCCACTTGGGTCCTTTATATAGATGGCCACTACCAAGTTCATTCTATGCTGTCTTCGATGGTCATGGAGGATCCGCGGCATCCTCATATGTTAAAAACAATGCTCTGAGATTCTTCATTGAAAATGCTGATCTGCCACAAACATCTGAAATCGATGAAGCATTCTTGGGAGAATTGGAGCGTTCTTATCAGAGAGCCTTCTTACTGGCCGACCAAGCCCTGGCGGATGAGTGTACAATCGATGATTCATGTGGTACTACAGCATTAACTGCTCTGGTCATTGGTAATTATCTTCTAGTTGCAAATGCTGGCGATTGCCGTGCTGTCCTTTGTAGAAAAGGAGATGCTGTCCAGGTTTCTCATGATCACAGACCTTCCTGTCAAATTGAAAGGAAAAGAGTTGAGGATTTGGGTGGTCTTATTGAGTATGGATACCTAAATGGGGAAATCTCAGTCACTCGAGCACTTGGAGACTGGTATATGAAGCTTCCATATGGACCCAGCTCCTCTCCTCTTACGGCAGAGCCGGAAATGCACCAAGTTTTGTTGACGGAGGATGACGAGTTTCTGATTATTGCTTGTGATGGCATTTGGGATGTGATGTCAAACCAGGATGCGGTTAGCATTGTTCGTCAAGAGCTGATGATGCACAATGACCCCGAGGAATGCGCAAAGGAGCTTGTGAACCAGGCTTTGTTGAGGGAGGAAAATGATAACCTCACTGCCATTGTCATCTGCTTTACAGCATCTCCAGTTCCTTCTCGCCGCCCGAAACTGAGGTGCCTCACATTGTCGGAGGATGCACGGAATAGGCTCCGAAGCTTGTTACAAGGCAACTAATAGCATCACTCTTTTTGATTTTTCATCTGTTTGAGGTTGCTTCAGATAAATTGAGAAAAAGCAACAAAGTTTTGTAGAGGTAGAAAGGATGATGTGTGACAGTGAGGGTAGTTTGGTGTTTTAGGTAACATATATTGCATTGTGTCCTGGCGACATTCTTGTTTTTAGGTAGTAAAAGCCTTGATTGGTTAATCAAAATCTGGAATTGATTATTAGTGCTTTGACAATTCAATAACATGTACTGTTTATTGTATTCCGGATATTCTTGAATTTGATCCCATTCAGTTTCATTATTGAGCTCCATTGAATCTTTTTGAGTTGATTTATGATGCTATTGTTTATGCGTTTGGTCTTGTCAGCATTGAGTTGCACCATTAAATTTGCTGTCTTTATTCTGATGATAAGAACAGTCCAACCTCCAGCTCTTCGGAAAAAGGTGGCTGGGCCCGTTCTTCCTCTCCCTTAGGCTGCCCACAACCCTGGGTGAAAAAGCCTTTTTGAGCTTTTCACCCCTAAAACATCCTCAACCCATAGTATAAGGAGATGGCAAAGTGGATAGGTAGAACCATTGGGGTGGGTATCTGTAGGCTTTTTCACGGAGAGATAAAGCTCGAACGGTGCATGAAAGGATGATTGTTTGATGGGGTCAATTAAATTTTAAAAACTCATTTTTGTTTAAACTTTAAAGTTCTATAAATTTTTTTATTTGAGTTCCATTTTTTATAAAAAATATATCAAAATTTATAACTTTTTACGATCTTTCATATGACATCAATATAGTATATATAAAGTTTTAAAAAAAATATTAAGTTTTTTAAATCTCAAAATTTTCAGATCTAACATTTTTCTGAAATAGATTCAAATAAGATCTCATTGTTAAAATAGATTCAGTAAAAATTGAATTGATTGCAGTAAAAATTGAATTGATTGAATGAATACGTAAAAATATTAAGTTTTTTAAATCTCAAAATTTTGAGATCCAACATTTTTCTGATATAGATTCAAATAAGATCTCATTGTTAAAATATTTCTTTTTAAACCTTACAATTTTTTTATAAAAATAGATCTGAATTAACAAGAAAAAATAAACTCAAAATTTATTAATTTTTAAATCAGAATATTTGACTTTGTATATTATTCGCAACAAAGAATTGAATCGATTGAATGAATACGTATAAAGTAGTGAGAAATTTGATTTATTGACGGAGTTGGATTGCGGTTAGCCTTAGGGATGGAACAGGCCTGGGCCTAGGGGTGGTCAAAAATACCGGAAAATCGGTATACCGCACTTATCATACCGAAAAATACCAAAAAATATCGGAATATTGGTATACCGTCATTTTCAGTACGATATCATACCGTACCGATTTATTTTGGTACGGTAAGGTAAATGTTTTCAAATACCGCGGTATACCGGTATAATACCGTACCGACTCCCTACCCAACAATTACTTTTAATTCTAGAATATTGTAAAAGTCCATTACAATTTTGAAGGCCAAAATTAATATTTACGTTGGTTACAAATCTCTAATGACTAATTTGTAATGTACTAATATCCAAAAACAAGTCCATCTTGTTCCAAGAGCTTGCGAGTTGCGATGGTTGAATCGTTGAGTAGCTGATGGGTGAAGGGGATACACTTATGTGATATGTGTATCTACATAGGGATCACATGAGTCGAGGCACACAACTTTGTCCGAAAGTCTTATTCAATTTTTTTAAAAAATTATAAAAATGACTAATAAATGCACAGTATTATAGTAGTATTAGGAATAAATGATTTTACATACATGTTGTTTGAATAATTTTATTTATTATTGTTAGAGATCACTATTGATTTAATTATATTTATATTGTTCAAGTTTAATATGTGGCATGTTGAACTGCTTAAATATACTAATAATTATTATTGTTCAATATTGAATATGACATCAATAGATTATTAATTGTATATATTTGTAACATTTTAATAACGGATTAAATATGTCACTAGTAATACTGATTTAGCGTATTTCGTTAGTCTATGGTAATTTACCGATACCGTACCATTATCGAACCGAAACTTCGGTATACCGAAATGCGGTATACCAAAACTTTGGTAAGGTAACGGTATATAAATTTTGCATACCGAAAATTTTGGTACGACAAAGGTATGAGATAAAATATTCGGTATACCGTACCGAACCACCCCTACCTGGGCCGCTCGGGCCGCTACTGTGCGGGCCCGGTCCGGTCCGGTCTTGGGTAACCGGTTCCGGGCATAGGCCCGGCCCGGGGATTGGGTCGGGTCGGGTACGGGCCTTCAATATAGTAAACCGGCCCGGCCGAGTCCTTTTTTTGTATTTTCAATTTTTTTTTGTTTTTCCCAGGTAGGGCTGGATGTTTTGGAGGGGTTTGGGGGTGGGGAGTGAGGGGGGGGGGGGGTCGGGGGATAATTAGAAAAGCAAAAAAAATTAATCGGCCCGGCCCGGCCCGGAACCCCTGGCTACCCGGGCCAGTTCCGGGCCACACTTCCCCCACCAAAAGCTCGGTCAGGCCCGGCCCGGTACCCGGTCTGGCCCGGAACCGGTCCAACCCTACTCTCCCTTTTGCACGGATCCTTTTATATTGGACGTCACAACAGGGAAGGTGAGGATGATCCGATAGCACAAAGATTCGGATGCACCTGGTCTTCAAAAGTTGTTTAAATTAGTAGCCTCTGAAGTAATTTTTTTTGTTCCTCGAAAATATTTTCCTGTGTAAAAGAAAGAAAGTACAAGGTTCGATAATTTAACTTATTTTTATTCAAATTTGAAGTACTAAAATAATTTCCTTTCACACAACTATTTCACTAACCTGTGTTAAGCCTAAAGAACTGTAATTATGTAAATGTTTTCAGTAATCGTTTTAGTAGCCGGTGTAGTAAGATAATAAGATTGCAGATTAAACGGAAGTAACTAGATATGAGATGGCCACATGAAATACATGTTCATTGCATTATTGGTGTACTTTTCTATGCTTTTGGGTTGTGATACGTGTTAGGTGATTAACGTTTGTTAAGTGCAGTTAGCTTTTATGGTTGGTAGAGACGATTTTATTAAGTGAAAGAAACGTGTGAGAAAAACTTAAGGTGGGAAGAAAGGAATGAGATTAATTGGGAAAAGTACAAGAGTCCCACTAATTACTCTTTCTTCCCGTGTATGCTCACAAAGCGTGAAGAATAAGTAGAACACATATACCCTACGTGACTCCTTCCTAAAACAAAAGTTGCTAAAATAAATGTTACAAAAGTCTTAAACACATAAATTAACAGTTAAGTCATAAGAGTATATAACTTGTATTTATTCAAACGTTTGCCTGAGGTCGGAAACTTGTACTTGATTTTCATCGAATGAAACAAGATGAGAATAAGCGTTGATTATGGGAGTGTTTGATTACTAGCCTATCGGTCATTTTCGCCTTTTGAGTTTTGACCAGACCAATTTGCTATTAGGAGTGTTTGGTTAATTGACTTTTTCACTTGCTTTTTGTTTCAATCAGCCAAAATGAAAAACTCCAATAAAGGCAATGTTCAAATCTTGGCTATTCAAGAATCTACCGGATATTTCTAATTTGCCCAATGCGGGCTTCTTCTCTTGTTAAAAAACATGTTGCTAGGTTTGTGAGAATGACTCACAACTATACTAGTTGTAGTGTTGTCGAAGTTAAGAATATCTGTATATAATCAGAGATGGCTGTTTTAAGCTCGTTTGAAGGTTAGCAACTCATGTTGCACTTTTACGGATGAAAAATGCTCAATATTCATACATCCAATATAATTCATCTCTTCATCTTTCTTTTAAATCACTCTTTTCCATTCTTACGATGATCGATGTTTCAGTTGCTGATAACTAGAAACTTTCTAGTTTTCAGTTGTTGATAACTGGGAACTTTCCAGTTTCCACACTACCATTCTCTCTCGTTGTCTTACACAGAGAACACCTCTCTCTCCTCTTCCTTTACTGCCCGGAGCCCTTTGTGCTATTCCTCCATTCACTCCATAGTCCTCTTCTCAATCATGTGCTTGTTTCCGGCGAAAAAAAAAAACACCACACACTGAGATTAGTGGAAAGAAAAAACCCTAACCGTCCTCAAGTCATGACCTCCCTTCTTAGTATATAATACACCTTAATAAAATGAATGTGTATATGTAATTTGGATAAAATAAGAACATGATTTAAGAAGAGAAATGAGAAAGAACTTGATGCTTTAGATTTGACAATTATGCACTATTTGGTACCTAAATGTGCATTGCAATTAGTATGAAGTCACGATGATATTTATGTAAATAAATTAAACATTTTCTATTGACATGAGGTGTGAATTATCTTATCCTAAAATGTGTAACACCATACATTGGAATGTAAATCTTTTGAATCATTCTCGTTTCTGATCAACCATTCCCATACAAGAACTAGACCTATACACAAACACAAAAAATCGAAAAATCAATTTGTAGCATTGAAGAACCAGTAAGAGGCCACAATTGGACAGCCCAATTCTAATCTAGCTATTCTGTCTAAAAGCAACTCTGCCATAAGGTCGAGCACTTGGACACTACTAATCAAATACCTTGATGTATAAAATCTAATTGTTTTTAGATTAGTGTGCACATCATTATATTAAATGTGCTACAAAGATTCACGTTTATTAGTTTTACTAGTAATACAATAATACAAGTGCCCGATATTATTTTATTAGCCATAATATTAGAATATATCACGTAGTATTAATTACTACTATGTATGATGCAATGAAAATAAGTAGTTTATTATGGTCGAATGCTTTTTTTGAAGATCCTTTTATATAAAAAATTGAAGTAAAGTGCATACTTTCATAAATGTTTTCAACTAACTTATGCTTTGTCAGGGGCGTACCGTAGTAGAGACCCAGGAGGGCTACCGCCCCCCCCCCCCCCCAACAATTTTTTTTTAGTGTATATATATACGAAAAATGATTTTTGTTCTTCCAAAAAGTATTTTGAACCCCCCCAAAAAAATATTTTCGCCCCCCCAAAGTGACTTTCTGGGTCCGCCCCTGTGCTTTGTTTAAAATGGTGTGTGAATTAGTTACAGTAAGAAATCTAAATTGCCTTTCGGGACAAAAAAAATCTAAATAGCATACTTCTTATTTTTTTTATAATAGGTAAAAGTTTTCCAAAATAAGAACCATTAAATGTCAAAACGAAATGCATTCACTTAATTTGCTCGCACATTGGATATCATCCTTAGCTAAAAGAGGTTCTCATGTTAATAATCACACCATTAAAGACAATGAAGTAAATCTAGCATTCCCATCAATGATACAAA